GAGGGCGCCCCGCGGGTCGCCAGGGGGGTCAATTTCGACTCCTGGGAAGCCTAAAAAACGACGACCCTCACGAGGATTCTGGCCCCGACGGGGGGCCGGAGAAAAAAACCTCTCCTCTTCTTTGAAGCCAAAACCATTGATTTTACTAGGGTTTTGGCCACATTTTGGCCTTCTGAGGGGGCAGCGCTCCTCGTCCTTCATAACAAAATTATTGATTTTACGAAGGTTTTGGGCTCATTTTGTCCTTCTCAGGGGGCAGCCCTCCATTGCGCTTCTGAGGAGCTCGCACGAGGTCCCAAGATGGCCCCAAGAGGCCCCCAGGAGGCTCCCAAGAGGCCTCCCAGAGGCCCCCCAGAGGCCCCCCAGAGGCCCCCAAGCGGCCCCAAGAGGCCCCCAAGAGGCCCCCAAGAGGCCCCCAAGAGGCCACAAGAGGCCCCAAGAGGCCCCCAAGAGGCTCCCAAGAGGCCCCCAAGAGGCCCCCAAGAGGCCCCAAGAGGCTCCAAGAGGCCCCCAAGAGGCCCCACGAGGAGCCCGAACGACGCACACCAGGACGAGGGGCCCGAACGACTCACACCACGAAGAGCCCGAACGACTCACACCACAAGGAGAGGCCCGAACGACTCACACCAGGACGAGGCGCCCGAACGACTCACACCACGAGGAGCCCGAACGACTCACACCACGACGCGGGCCCCGAACGACTCACACCACGAGGAGCCCGAACGAGTCACACCAGGAGGAGGGGCCCGAACGACTCACACCAGGATGAGGGGCCCGAACAACTCACACCACGAGAAGCCCGAACGACTCACACCAGGACGAAGAGCCCGAACGACTCACACCACGAAGAGCCCGAACGACTCACACCAGGAAGAAGGGCCCGAACGACTCACACCAGGACGAGAAACCCCAAACGACTCAAATCACGAGGAGCGCTTTCTCTCTCTCCTCCTCCGCCTCGTCCTTCTCCCGCTCCCCCAACATGGAGGATGTACAAGGAGGCGGGAGAAAGGAGGAACAGGGGAGATATGCGGGGCCAAGCGGACACACGCCTGAAAAACGCGACTGTCGGCATGCTTCGCAAGAGTTGCTGCTGTGAGATGGGCTGGTGGGGATACGCGAAGCGTAAAGAATTCATCTCGAACCTCTGCAGCTGGCGGTCGGCGTGCGCGCCGGCGTCGAGGCCATGCCGCACCTGGCCCGGCAGTGGAAGCAGGACTTCGCGCACGACCTGGATCGGGTGTTGGTCAACAGCGACCAGGCGAATGCGCACAACGAGGTGGACCGACACACGTTCCTGACCCGGATGCGCGAGGTGGCCCCCGGCATCGTGCGATGGCTCGAGTTCATCTACCCCACGGACGTCCCCACGATGGTGTTCTACCGAGGGCGCATCATCGACAGCGAAAGTGGTGGGCAGCAAGGATGCCCACTGATTGGCGCTTGCCACGCGATGGTGCAGAGGATGCTGTTCGAGTCTCTGGGGCTCGTGCCGGTTCCGACGTGCACAGCAGTCCAGCTGCCCGTCCTCGAGCCTCCGGCGCGTCTGGACATGGCCCCCGGCTTCGCTGACGACGCCCTCGTCGCAGGCCCGTCCAATGAGGTGCTGCGGGCAATCGCACACCTGAAGGCGGTGATGCCCGCAGTCGGCCTTCGCTTCTCGACGCTGCAAGTGGTCCCGGCCGCTGGGGCTCGGAGCACGATCGACGCCGCCCCGTTCGTAGAGCTGGGGTGCGTGGTTTTCCAGGACGGCAACTGCGAGGTGCTGAAATCTCCTGTCGGAGAGGAGGAGTACTGCAAGCCTTCTGCGCGCGCCAGGCCAGGAAGCAGGGAGGCATCCTATCGTTCCTGGCGGAGCTTGGAGACCCCCAAGTCACGCATCACCTACTGAGGCAATGCGTCAACGCTGGAAGGATGACCTACCTGGCTCGCACCACCCTGGCTGTGGTGCTGCGGGCCGCCGCCGCCCGTTACGACGAGGAGGTGGTGGACGCGGCCGCCGCGGCGGTGGGCCAGCGTTGGACAGAGTTGCAGAGGAGGCAGGCCGCCTTCGCTACCTCCGCGGCCAGGCTTGGGCTGAGGCGCATGTCGATGGAGATGGACGCCGCGTACGTGGCGTCGCGGGCGGCCACCCACGACCTGTGCGAGCGCATCCGGCCTGGGCACCGGTGGGACGACGGCGCGCCGGGCAGGCCTCTGGCGGACGCCGCGGCCAGGTTGGCAGCCACCTTGGGCCGCGACGCCCGCGGGGTGGCGACCCGGGCAGAGTTGACCCAGGCCTACCTGGGAGGTAAGCTGCGGAGCAAGGCAGTCGAGGCATGGCGTGAGGAGAGCCAGCCAGCCGACGGGGTTCGATTGAGCGCGCACTCAGCGCAGGGAGCGGGGACTCGGTACGAGCTCACCCCATCCAGGACACTTGACATGAACCTTTCCGCGGGCGAGTTCGCAGACAACGTCGCGACCTTGCTCGGTGTCGATGTGTTGGATGAGGGCAGCGCGT